CGTCGGTCGGCTTGCCCACGGAAGACATCACACTCATCATAGCCGTGGACTGGTTCCTGTGAGTGTCCTCCAGGCTGTACCCTGGCTCTGTCTTCCCCATGACCTGCAACCCATGGGATTTTATTCCAGCAAAGACAGAGTTCCACTATTTTAGAGTGAAAGGGGGGTGTTGGAGAGTACCCCACATGCCATGGAGTTATCCTTGGGATGTAAGGTGGGGAGGAGACATGCAACAAAGGCTTTATCCATCAGCCAGAAAACTTCTCTTTTACCTATTTTACGTGGAAGTCACGAAAAGGTGATCCATGGGGCAGATCTGGGTTGCGATTTTTTTCTTTTTTTAGAGATGGGGTCTTGCTATGTCGCCCAGGCTGGTCTGGAATTCCTGGGCTCCTCCTGCTTCAGTTTCCTGAGTAGATGGGACTGCATATATTTTTTAAAAAAATTCTCTGGGAGACAGAATGAGAACCTGTATATAAAAAAAAAAAAATTCTCAGCTTTTAAAAACAGGAAGTTTACATTAAAAAAAAAAATCTGAACTGTCATTTCCCACATGGGAGCTGTTAGCTGGGCCTGAGTCCCATTTGACAGTCTCCAGCCTGCCCTCGTCAGTGCCTCTATTGACAGGCCTGAGCTGATTTACTCATGGTGGTTACCGTCCTGGTTCTATATGATTTTCAGCTGATGACTCCTAATCATCTGTATCAGATGTTCACATCTTTTTTTTTAAAGTCACATTGCTAAGATCAAATATGAATATCTCAGAGCTGGTCCAACCTGAGTTTGTTAGGAAGGGAAACTGAGGAAGGAAAGGGTGAGGAAGCTGCTTGAGTTCATGTGGTCATGGATTGTACTGGAATGTACAGGGAGCTCCCTCCCCCCTGACCTCTGCTGCACCCTCTCCCTTGTGGAACTTCTCAAGCCCCCGTTAACAGCTGCTTCTCTCTCCCTCCACCAGGGACCGGCTGCGCACGATGACCAACGTGCTGGGGGACTCGATCGGGGCGGCCGTCATTGAGCATTTGTCTCAGCGGGAGCTGGAGCTGCAGGAGGCTGAGCTCACCCTCCCCAGCCTGGGGAAGCCCTACAAGTCACTCATGGCACAAGAGAAGGGGGCTTCCAGGGGACGGGGAGGCAACGAGAGTGCCATGTGAGGGGCTCCCAGCCCTGCTGGCCAGAAAGGAGGAAGGGGGCCGGGGAGGGGAGTCCTAGGGACAATCTGATGCCCAACTGACCGTGGGCTGAACACACGTGTTCTGCTTAGCTTGTTTAGGGGGGAGGACACCGAAATAAAGGAACAGGAACGAAAGGTATCCAAGGTCTCCATTCATCTCTGAGCGTGTGCTGAGAGCTCGAGGGAGGGCAGTGAACAAGGGGGAGGTGGAACAGTTTCCCCTAGGTTTCGGGGGAGGGAAAGCTTCAGGCTCAACAAGAAGAGAGGTCAACTCATGCTCCTTATTTTCTCAAGGAGTGGTGGAACTGAAGAGGATAAAGAAAAAACCACTGTTTCTCATAATAAAACAATACCCATAGTCTTTGTGTCGGGTCCCCCAAGACCATTTTCAGGTTCAGTGATGCATTAGAAAGACTCGCAGACCTCAGCAAAGCTATCGTACTCACACTTACGGTTTACTACACTGAAAGGTACAAATTAAACTCAGCAAAAGCAACAGCTGCATGGGGCATAGTCCAGGAGACACGAGATGTGGGTTTCTAGTTCCCTCCTGTAGAGCTGTGGACAGCACTTAGTTCTCCCAGCAATGATGTGTGACTGCCCATGTGAAGTATTGCCAACCAGGGAAGCTCGCCTGAGCTCTAGTGTTCAGAGTTTTTACTGGGGCTCTGTCACAGGCATGGAGCACTTGCTGACCTTACCTATTCAGTCTGCAGTCCCTTCAGAGATCAGTCTGACGCAGTGTGGTCCAGGGCCACAGGCATTCACCATAGACCACGTTGCTAGCATGGACTATCCAGTGTGACTCTCAGTGTACAGACATTCTTATGAGTCAGGTCATTCCAAGGGCTCAGAGGTCATCTCCCAGGAAACACTCAAGGACCAGTCCTTTCTTTGGGATGTGCAGGTGCTGAACATCCAAATCCCATTGAGTTAACCCTTTATTGCACATACGTCAAGGTTGGAAGTGGAGGCAGCAGAGTCCCGTGGGAGGGATAGCTAGGTCTTGTAGCCTCAACTCTTAACTCTTGAAGACTGGTTGGTGCTTCACCACCATGCTGGTCTCAGGGCTGGTGGTGCCTCTTTACTACACAGGGGTGGACCTTGGCCCCTTCGTATTATTTTTCTGTAGCCTAGCTTGTCAGGTGGGACATTAAAGACTTGGAGAAAACACACGATAAATAAACATGCTCTAGCTAGACTCTGTGACCCCTTTGTCTGAGAAATACAACATAGTTTGTTCTAAATCAAATTAAGCATCATTTGAGCTCCTGTCCCCGAAAGGGGAGGAAAATCCAAGTGCAGGTATGATTTGAAGCACCCCCCACCCTTGCACATTTTGTTTGTTTGTTTGTTTTTTACTGAGACAGGGTCTCACTCTTTTGCCCAGGCTAGAGTGCAGTGGCATGATCATGGCTCTCTGCAACCCCAAATTCCTGGGCTCAACTGACTCTCCTGCCCTCAGCCTCCCATGTAGCTGGGACTATAGGCATGCACCACCACACCAGGGTAATTTTTCTATTTTTTGTAGAGACTAGGTCTTGCCCTTGCTCAGGCTGGTCTTGAACTCCTGGCCTCAGGCCATCTTCCTGCCTTGGCCTCCAGAGTGCTAGGATTACAGGCACAAGCCACTGTGCCCTGTGCCTGGCCCATAAATACTCACTTCTAATTTTAAAAATGATTTCACCACCAGAGAGCAGGATAAACGTTACTCAGGTATGTGGATATTAAATAAAGGTAATATATTGTATAATATTTTACATCAGAAGTAAAGCATTTAAAAAAAAACCCTGTGAAATCTCAAATATCATTCCGTAGAGTGAAAAAAATAAAAATAAAGGGGCATGAAAACCCTCTGCTTAAAGATAAAACCACATTTTACTTAAATGTTGAATCACACATATGTTCCTTTATTAAATCATCATTAAAGCAGGATAGAAAGTTTTTAGACTTGGCTTTCACACTACAGGTGTTGCAATATAGGACACCTCTTTTCAGAGAGATGAGTGTTACAGAGGGGAGGCTCATAAAAGATCATTTGAATCACGCACTTCTGGCTGAGTAGAACTCCATGGTATACATGTACCACATTTCATTAATCCACTCACGTATTGATGGGCAGTCGGGTTGTTTCCACATCTTTGCAATTGCGAATTGTGCTGCCTTAAACACTTGAGTGCAGATGTCTTTTTTATAGAGTGTCTTTTGTTCTTTTGGGTAAACACCTACTAGTAGGATTGCTGGATGGAATGGTAGGTCTACTTTTAGTTCTTTGAGCTGTCTCCATACTACTTTCCATAGAGGTTGTACTAGTGCGGTGTGCACCGTCTAGGGGATGGGCATGCTTGTAGCTTTGACGCAGGCGGTGCAAAGGCAATTTATGTGATCAAAGCATTTGCACCCCTGTAATACTCTGAAATTAAAAATAATTGAAAAAATAAATCAAGCACTTAATTTCTCCTCAGAAGTGAAAGTTTCCATATGTAAGTAGAGTTTCTTATTGTGTGAGCTTTTACAATATAAGTAATAGTTGTATGTCTTTATAGGGTACATGTGATGTTTTGATATGGGCCTATAACGTGAATTAATCAAATGAGGGTAATTAGGGGATCCATCACCTCAGGTGTTTATCATTTCTCTGTGTTAGGAACATTCCAATTCCATTCTTTTAGTTATTTTTTTAAAATATTTAACCATCCACCCATCTATTTTTCACTCCATTTGACAAATATTCACTGAGCATAGACTCCTTACCAAGAGCTATACTAGGCATTGTGGTCACCAGAATGAATAAGCTATAGCTCTGAAATTCAAGAAATTCAAGTTGTGGCAGAGAATGAAAATTTAATAAAGCTGGCGTGACTAAAAGGGAAGTGGATCAGATTTTTAAAAGGGGAGAAATCTTTTGAGTTAATTTTATTCACATAACTTCAAAAAACATTTCTGTCAGTGAGTTTCCGGGGCAACATTTCCAAAATAGGTACACATCCCATTGCTTCTAAGGATATATATTAAACATATAAGATTTGATTTATTTAAAAAAATCCATAATGTACCCATAATTAAAAATAAAAACATTTTTAAAAAAGAGCATTAAAAAATCCAAATCATTACTGAAGATAACTGAGAAAATGCCAGTTTGTATTCATACAAAGTCGAAATTACAGGTTAGAAAGTGAAAAGGGAGATCTATTAGTAATAAACAACTTTATTAACAGTAGCTAGGGCAGGAAAAACCCCAAAGGAAGATCAGAGGAAAAAACTGAAAGAGACCTGTACTCGAATGTTTATAGCAGCACAATTCACAGTTGCAAACATGTGGAAACAACCCAAGTGCCCATCACTACATGAGTGGATTAATCAAATGTGGTATATGTGTACCATGGAGTACTATTCAGCCATAAAAAACGGGGAATTAGTACCTCTTGTATTAACCTGGATGGAGCTGGAGCCCATTCTTGCAAATGAAGTATCACAAGAATGGAAGAGCAAACACCACATGTACTCACCGTTAAGTTGGAAACAATCGATCAACACTTACGTGCACATATGGAAATAACATTCATCGGAAATACAGCGAGGTGGTGGAAGGGAATGGGTAAATTCACAGCTAATGGGTACAGTGCACATTATCTGGGGGATGGACACACTTTGACTCAAATGGTACAAAAGCAATTTATATAACCAAAATGCTTGTATCGCCATAATATTCTGGGGGAAAAAAAGCAGAGATACAAACAAAAAAATACCATAATAACAGAAGTAGTCAAAATACTAGCTGAAGGAGGCCAGGTTTTCTGGTTTTTAGTATTGTGCACATTGCTACTCACAAGGGGCCTTGGGGAATGGCCCCTTCTTTGAGAGGCGTGGCCTTGCCAAGGAGTCTCCCCAGGGCCCCCTTCATGTCCCTGTTCTTAAGGCTGTAGATGAAGGGGTTCAGCATGGGGGTGACCACGGTGTACATCACCGAGGCCATCAAACTTGTCCTAGAGGACGGTGTGGCCGCAGGGCTGAGGTAGACCCCAAGCCCCGTGCCATAGAACAAGGAAACCACAAAAAGGTGAGACCCACAGGTGGAAAAGGCTTTGTCCTTGCCCCTGGCCGATGAAATTCTCAGGATAGCGGAGAAAATCCGAGAATAAGAGAAGAAGATTCCAGAGAGAGGACAAACAGCTAGGACGATGGTCACAGAATACACCACTATGTTATTAACGAGGCTGTCAGAACAGGCAAGCTTCAGGACTTCGGGAAGATCACAAAAAAAATGTGGGATTTCCACGTTTGTGCAGAAGGACAGCTTCAAAACAGGCAAGGTCTCGAGCAGGGAGCCCACGACGCTGATGCACCAGGACCCCTGAGCCAGCAGCCCACAGAGCCGGGGGCTCATGATGCCCGTGTAGTGCAGGGGGTGACAGATGGCCACAAAGCGGTCATAGGCCATCGCAGTCAGGAGTAAATTGTCCAGGCACCCAAACACAATGAAAAAAAACATCTGGCTGAGGCAGCCTTCGTACGTCATGACTTTGCTCCGTGTCTGCATGTTCACCAGCATGTTTGGGACGGTGGTGGAGACAAAACAGATGTCAGCCAAGGACAGGTTGGAGAGGAAGAAGTACATGGGGGTGTGCAGGTGGGAGTCTGAGACTGTGGCCAGGATGATGAGCAGGTTCCCAAACACAGTGACCAGGTACATGGACAGGAACAGCCCAAAGAGGAGGGGCTGCAAGTCAGAGTCCTCTACGAATCCCAGGAGGAGGAAGTTTCCAACTCTTGTGTGGTTTCTTTTTTCCATGGGGCTGCTGGGTTTGTCCAGGAGGAGAAAGAGAGAGAGAGGGAAAAAAAGCAACACAAAATTCGCTCCAAATAGGCCTTCCCCAGAATGACTGCAACATCCTTTATTCAAACCCGGGAAACTCAAGAAGTTATGCATTTTGGCTAATCGTTGGATCTCTTTGCTGACAAGCTGCAGTTACCATTGCTACCTGGAAAAACTGTCTCTAGCTCAGTGCTTCTCAAACTGTGGTCCCTGGAACAGCAACATCAATTAGCATCACCTGGGAACTCGTGAGAAATGTGCATTATCAGATCCACCGGATCGACTGAATCCTATACTCCGGGAATGGTGCCAGCATTCTGGGTTTTAACAAGCCCTCTTGGGAATGCTGATGCACACCCAAGTTTGAGGACTGCTGCTCCAGGGCTTGCCTGCATCCCTAAGCAATCAGCCCTTGCCCAACATCCCTGGTGGCCACTCTTGCTCTTTCTGCCCAATTCATGTGGGAATAAGAATTCCCTAATTCTAAGCATATTTTTTCAATCATTGAAAGACTCTTTCTTCTATTGTGCTGCATTTCTGTAATTTCTGCATGTTAAATTCTATGGACCTTGGATGCTCACTCTGCTAAAAAATAATAGCCACTGTTATTATTAATCATCGTTTATTTTTTTTTCTTTTGAGATTGGGATCTTGCTCTGCTGCCCAGACTGTAGTGTAGTGGTGCAATCATAGCTCACTGCATCCTTGAACTCCTGGGCTCAAGTGATACTCCTGCCTCAACCTCCCAAGTAGCTAGGACTACAGTGTGCACCACCATGCCTGGTTAATTTTTTTTCCCATTTTTTGTAGAGACGAGGGGTCTCAGTGTGTTGCCCAAGCTGTCCTCAAACTCCTGACTTCAAGCGATCCTCCCATCTCAGCCTCCCAAAGTGCTAGGATTACAGGTGTGAGCCGCTGGGCCTGGCCTTATTAATCATTGTTTACATTTCATTTATATTGTCAATATTCCTACATAAACTTAACAAAAATGGAGTTTTTAAATACAGAATTCCTAGAGTTTCTAAATATAGAAGTGAGTCACATGCACGTTTTCTGTCATCTGATTCTTATCCCATCAAATTATTCCCCCCTATCAAAATGGCTTTTTAAAATGTACCCCTTTTGGACATTTACTTACTTTCTAAGTTTTCTTAAAAATAAATACAGCTTGGATTAATTTTAACTTTATATTTGCTTCTCTTAGGATAATCTGTAAATGGCCTTTCTCAGTGTTTAAAAATTTAAGTATTTCCTTAATTTTTTTAAAAAAGGTATGAATAAGTGTTTAATGATTAATTAGTTATTTAGAAAAAGAATGCTAAATTCTGTCTCTATATTTCCAAGTAAATTTTGAATTTTAAATATGGAACAAGAGACTACCTAAGCTATCTGAAGAAAAAAAATATATATATAATACAAAGTTATACATGTATAGGTATAATCTTTGAAAGTAGAAGTTCTCTCTGATTAAAAAGTCTTCAGTAGAAATAAGAGAAGCAAAGACCAGTAATTGAAACCACAAATTGAAAAATTCTGAATGAGAAAATATGCCACGCAGAAAATGGAATACACAAATAATCTATTTGATAAACATTAATATCTCTAATCTATAAAGAATTATGAATCATAGAAAGATCAATGCATTTCTGGGGAAAAGAAAGAGAGTATTAAAAATTCATAAAACAAAATGTAAAAAGTGTAATATATATTTGAGAAAATTTTCATTCTTACTATGAATCTATAAAAATGAAATAAAAAATAAGATAACTTTTTTACTGAGGGAATTAAAAGTCCTTTGTAAAAAAGAATAAGAATGGAAAATTCCATCATATGGAAAGAGAAATAACATTTCAGATACTGCTATGAAAAGATACTTGGTCTCCTTTTCTGGACTGGACGAATTAAATCAGCATATAGGTCTTGTGTAATTACACATATATTTGCACAGAAAAATTATCTACAACATACACCAAAATATGAACAAAGATTATCTTTGAGTGGTAATGTCAATCTTGATTTTTAGATTCATTTTCTAGTATATTGTTCAAAGGTTTCAAATAAATACGAATGTAGTCTATCCTCAAGAAATAAAAACTTTAGAATTTGAAGATACTGGTAATAAAAATTTCACAAAATGAACCTAGTTCAAACAGAAAGTAGCAGTTAATAAAAATAAAAGGCCGGGCATAGTGGTTCATGCCTGTAATCCCAGCATTGTGGGAGGTCGAGGCAGGAGAGATCCCATCTCTACAAAAAATAAAAGAAATTAGTCAGACCAGTGGTGCGCACCTGTAGTCTGAGCTACTCTGGAGGCTGAGGCAGGAGGATCGCTTGAGCCAAGAAGTTCGAGGTTACAGTGAGACGTGATTGTGCTGCTCCACTCCAGCCTGGGCAACAGAGTGAGACCCCATCTCTTAAAAAAAAAAAAAAAGATAAAAACAGAGTTAATGCACTAAAAAGAAGAAAGATTCTAGAACTGAAAAACAAATTCCTCAGTTAATTCTTTGCCAAACACTAACGAATAGAAAAAATTAGAAGTCTAAGGAAAGGGATAAAAAGAGAGAACAGAAATATCTAGAATCAGGAATGAGAAAAATGAACACAGAAATAAGGAAATACTCCGCTTTGCAAGAAAATGTTACCTATAACTCCATGTTAAAAATACGAAAATCTCCAAGAAATGAACTTAATTTCTGGGAGAATATGTGTCCAAAGTTGATTCAGGATGGAGCATAACAGATCAAAAAACAAGGAAGGAATTTAAAAAAACAACAAAACTTACCTCCAAAAATTCCCTGGTGAGGTCCTCTGGCAGACACAATAGCAGAATTATCCTTTCAGTATTAAAAAAGAAGTGTCTCATTATTAATTATTTATCAGTGCCCTGGAACCAATTAATGCAGTACAAGGAGAAAAAGAAATAAAAGACCTTGGCATTGAAAAGGCATTGTTTTTAGAGGACAGCTTGGCCGCAGGTGATGGATTGGTGGTTGAAAATGTATTTTAACTGAACATGATATTAGTAGGGCAGCTGATGCCAAACACACATGTAAAAAGCAGTAGCCGTTCTAAGGTGGTGTTCGGTGGCATAGAGCACATCCAGGATGCTTTGCAACCCTTGCTTCTACCTGGTTCCTAGCATTTTCATCACTACGACAACTCTCTCTGTAACTTTTCTGTCACTCTAGATTATCTAAAAATAAAAAGTAACAGAAAACATGGCTATAAGAGAGAATTAAAGTAGCATTTGTGTGTACATTTGGAGCTCTTGGAAAACAGATCTCAATCATTTCAAATACTAACAAAAATAAAAAAAAAACCCTCCTGGTTAGGTGTGAATGTACCCACCCCTTCTTATCTCCTCAAACTGTACAAAAGCAAATTTTGTAACCAAAACGTGTGTACCCCATAATATTCTGTAATTTAAAAAAAGTTAAAAAAAATCCTTTAAAATTTGAGGGAACCATTTTTTATGATTTAATGACTTCTTTTTTTTTTTTTTTAATGGATCATGCCAAACCTGTAGGAGTTACTACTGGGAATGTGATTAGAATAATTTGTGCAATAAAGCCCTTCATAGCTTAAAAAAAATAAAACTCTTGGAGCAGGGACTGGAAACTTGTAAATACTCACAAATGAGAGTATTAATAGCTAAAATCTATTAAGGGCTTCCACATGTAAAGCACTTGTGCTGTTTTATACGCCTTAGTTCATTTTATCATCATGATCACTATTTTTTCTGATTTAATGAATGAAAATATTTATAGCAATGCAGTTATAATAATTAACATGAACAGGTGATCACTAGATGTTAGAGACTATTAAAAAACTGTCAATGAATGATATCTTTGGATTTAACCCTCGCATTTCATTCAAAAATATTTATGGTAATTATTTTAAAAAATTGAGACATAATTGTACATATTTATGGGGTCCATGTGATATTTTGATATAAGCATACAATGAATAATGATCACATCAGGTTAACTGGAGTATCTATCACCTCAAACGTTTATCATTTCTTTGTGTTGAGAACATTTCAAATGTTCTCTTCTGGCTATTTTGAAATATACAATACATTACTGTTCCCTGTAGACACCCTACAAACACTGGAACTTATTCCTTCTACTTGACTGTATTTTTGTACCTATTAACCAACCTCTCTCTTCATCCCTCCCCCTCTCCCTACATTCTGCACTCTACCTCCGTGAGATCCCCTTTGTAGCTCCCACACATGAGTGAGAACGTGCGATGTGTGTCTTTGTGTGCCTGGCTTGTGTCACTTGGTGTAATGACCTCTAGGCTCATCCATGCTGCAGCCAATGACAGGATTTCATTCCCAATAGTATTCCATTGTGCATACACACCACATTTCCTCCACCCAATCCTCCGCTGATGGGCACTCGGGTTGATTATACATCTTGGTTATTGTGAATAGTGCCACAATAAACACGGAAGTACAGACATCTCTTTAATATGCTGATTTCCTTTCTTTTGGGTATATACACCCAGCAGTGGGGTTGCTGAGTCATAAGGTCGATCTAATTTAATCCTCATAATAACTCTGTGAAGTTGGATATCACTATTATCCTCCCTTTACAAAGGTGGAGATGGAGACACAGAGACATTAAGTAAACTAATGTCAGAAGACGTACATGGTGAGCTTGTCAGTGCTAACCACATGGAATCCCAGGGAATGTTTCTTGAGTGAATAATATATTACAGATAAAACAGAAGCATCTTTGATAGAGGGAATGGAGATACTTGTAATGGCTCCAGAAATTCGGCTCAGATGGCTGGGTTAGAAATTTTGGGAGATACTGGGGATCTAAGAGAAGGTTGACTACTGTTCGGGAGGTGAGAGATCCTGAGAATTGGGTTCCAGAAGAGAGAGGGGAAGCAAGCTGAGAGGAAGCTAAGAGGAAAAGAAGATGAGAGAGACACAGGAATTGACTGGAATGCTTTAAGTGACTGGA